CTCACTGCAAGCTCTGCCTCCCGGGTTTACGCCATTCTCCTGCCTCAGCCTCCCAAGTAGCTGGGACTACAGGCGCCTGCCACCTCGCCCGGCTAGTTTTTTGTATTTTTTAGTAGAGACGAGGTTTCACCGTGGAAAGCTCTTTATAATGAGAATTACAAAACACTGCTCAAAGAAATCAGAGAAGACACAAACAAATGGGAAAACATCACATGCTCATGGATAGGAAGAATCAATATTATTAAAATGGCCATACTACCCAAAACAATGTACAGATTCAGTGCTATTCCTATCAAATTCCAATGAAATTCTTCACAGAACTGGAAAACACTGTTTTAAAATTCATATGGAACTAACAAGGAGCGTGAATAGTCGAGGCAATCCTAAACAAAAAGGACAAAGCTGGAGGCATCACATTACCTGACTTAAAACTATACTACAGGGCCATGGTAACCAAAACAGCATGGTACAGGCACAAAAACAGATCCATAGACCAATGGAACAGAATAGAGAGTCAGGAAGTAAGGCTGCACATCTATAGCCATCTGACCTTTGACAAAGTCAACAAAAGTAAGCAATGGGGAAAGGACTCTCAATTCAATAAATGGTGCGGGGATAACTGGCTAGCCATATGCAGAAGACTGAAGCTGGACCCCTTTCTTATACCACATACAAAAATAAGCTCAAGATGGATTAAAGACTTAAATGTAAAACTCCAAATTGTAAAAACCCTAGAAAACAACCTAGGCAATACCATCTTGGACATAGGAACAGGCAAAGATTTCATGACAAAGACACCAAAAGCAATCACAAGAAAAGCAAAAATTTACAAGTGAGATCTAATTAAACTTAAGAGTTTCTGCACAGTGAAACAAACTATCAACAGAGGAAGCAGCCTACAGAATGGGAGAAAATATTTGCAAACTATGCATCTGATAAAGGGCTAATATCCAGCATCTATAAGGAACTTAAATTTACAAGAGAAAAACAAACAGTCCCATTAAAAAGTGGGTAAAGGACACGAACAGATACTTTTCAAAAGAAGACATGCATGCAGCCAACAAGCATATGGAAAAAAGCTCAATATTACTGATCGTTAGAGAAATGCAAATCAAAAATACAAGGAGATACCATCTCACACCAGTCCGAATGGCTATTGTTGAAAAGTAAAAAACTAGTAGATACTGGTGAGGTTGCAGAGAAAAGGAAATACTTATATACTGTTGGTGGGAGTGTAAATTAGTTCAGCCATTGTGGAAAACAGTATGGCAGTTCCTCAAAGAGCTAAAAGCAGAACTGCTATTTGACCCAGCAATCCCATTACTGGGTATATACTCAGAGGAATATAAAGCATTCTACCATAAAGATGCATGCGAATGTTCATTGCAGCATTTTTTTCACAATAGCAAAGACAGGGAATAACCTAAATGCTCATCAATGACAGATTGGATAAAGGGAATGTGGTACGTGTATACCATGGATACTATGCAGCCATAAAAAAGAATGAGATCATGTCTTTTGTGGGAACACAGATGAAGCTGGAGGCTATTATCTTCAACAAACTAAAGCAGGAAAGACAACCAAATACTGCATGTTTTCACTTACAAGTGGGAGCTAGATGATGAGAACTCATGAACACAAGGAAACAACAGACACTGGGTCTGCTTAAGGGTGGAGGGTGATAACTACTGGGTACTGGACTTAATTCCTTGGTAATGAAATAATCTGTACAGCAAACCCCTGTGACATGAATTTACCTGTGGAACAAACCTTCACATGTACCCCTGAACTTAAAAGTTAAAAAAATGTAGTATTTCTAGAACATACACGTGAAGATCAAAGTTATGACACTTTTAGTTTGAGTAAAAATACATACTCATTTAAAACTTACTTTGTTATTAAAACCATCTTGAATATTAAAATTTGTTTCACATACATTTAAAGGTATAATATGAACATGTAAAAATAACTTGTTATTTTTATATGATTTATATAAGAGAGTCAGTGCTACCTTGACTTACTAAGGACAATCTAGGTGTTTTGTTATGGATTTACAAAGTACAGTGTGGTTGATCACAAGTTATTTTTATATGTTCAATTATATAACTTGTTAGTTTAGTATCAAAATTAAGTAGGAGCTGCATGAAACTTCATTATAAAACTGTTCAATGCTTTTATTCCAATGTCTATAAAGAAACTTTAAAAACTCTCTTATAGTCCTGTTTGATTTATTTAAATATAGAGAATTATCTTACAGGATTTATTGCAAGTATTTAAAAGAGGATGATTGTTGCTATTTTTTCTCAAGGAATGCGTTTAATTGCTTTAGACAATGTGTTAACAGATTTTTGTTTCCTCTCAGGCTATTACTTAAGCTGTAGCAGCTTAAGCTTTGCTCACTTCAGCTAATGAAGACTAATACCATTGTGTTCCTGCCAGTTCAATTCTTTCTAATTTAGCTTTTCTAAGATAATGCCTGTTAATAAGCAAAGTCATAGATGAACAGAGGATAAAAACAATTCTGTGCTTCATTAACCATCAATCTGTAGCCTTTCTTCTGTTGTCTTAACGTGGAAGGAATGGTTAGTTTAAAAAAATGTTAGCTTTTATGAGTTGTTTGTTTTTGAGTTGTTTTATGTGATGGAGTGATTCTAATGTCAGGAACAGATCTTTGGGGCAATTTTCCTTAATGCAGTATGTGAAAAACAAGCCATAATAAATATTACATTAACACATAAACATGCTAAAGTTTGTGTTTTTATTAAAGATGAGGGAAAATGACATTCTAACCACCATATTTAGTCACGTTTAGGTAAAATGAACCTTGAGTATCTAAGGTATATGATTACATTGATCAACTAAGATCCCTCTACTGTAGTTACTATTTTTTCTTTACACTTATTTTTAAATGATAGTTTACATTTACAACTAACTGGTCAATCTTTGAGATGTATTATAAATGAAAGGCTGGTTAGCACAGAAAAACTGGTAGATAATAAAGGAAAGATATACGGGATTGTAGCTCTAATGTAGGTCGAGTTGTCAATCTGGGAATTTGTTTTTAGCAGTTGTACCTGTTTTACTGCAGAGACTTCAGGAGACATGTTCTTATTCTTTTGTTCCTAAAACTATTCAGGTGTGCTTGCTTACTTGCCCAAAGTACTGTAAGTAACTTTTCATAAAATAGTGAATTGGAATTTATTTTGAACCTATACAATTTAGAATGGGTTTATGTTGGGTTACAAATTTATGCTCAATATTATAGTCTCTTGGAAATGTGCCTCTTTAATAAATATTACTTTTTCTCTCCAGTGAAGGGTTGTAAGAGAGATTTAGTGCTACCTTGACTTACTAAGGACAATCTAGGTGTTTTGTTATGGATTTCCAAAGTACAGTATGGTTGATTACAATGAGATATTTTCTTTTGGCACTTAAAGGAGTTTATTTGTAAAGTCTTTATCTGAAGTTGTTGCAAAAAATATAATTACTTTTTACCTCACTTGGAATCAGGAAGTTTAGAATTCACCATGGTTTAACCTGTTAGTGATAGAAAATATTTTTTAAAAATCAGCTATGTTTAGTGATTTTATTAAATTGGTAAATTCTAATGAATGCATATTTATTTTGTTTTCTATGCAGCATCATTAGTTATTCCTGCTGGTAGAACTCTTCCAAGTTTTACTACAGCAGAACTGGTATGTAGCTTACTTAAAATATATTTTAAAAGATATGCCCCACTGTTAGTGAGTGGTGGCAAAATGCTGAACGTAGATGTAATTTCTTACCCTCCAGCTGAAAGTGAAAAAATGTGGCTGGGCGCGGTGGCTCATGCTTGTAATCCCAACCCTTTGGGAGGCTGAGGCAGGTGGATCACCTGAGATCAGGAGTTTGAGACCAGCTTGGCCAACTGGCGAAACCC